AGTGGGGTTTTTTTTTTGGTTTTTTTAGATCCCCTCTTTTTTTTTTTTTTTTTTTTTTTTTTTTTTTTAAGCTACTACTTCTCCAGGCAAGCATCTCTCTATTTACCCACTAAAAATAAGTGGGTATTATCTCAGAGATGGAATATTTAATATCCAGCTAACAGTAGGCATACCAAGACAGAGAACAAGTGAAACTTTTAAAAATAAAAAAATAAAAAAAATCAAATTCTGCAGTCCAGTCCACCAGCCGCCTCCTCCCCCTGGTATCACATTAAAGATCTGATCTTGGGATTTTTGCATCACAGGCCTGGCCATTCAGTGAGGAGACTTTTTATTTTTAAAAAAGTAGACAATATCTGGAAGATTTTTGTGTAACTAGATATGTAATAAACTGAAGGAGAACAAAATAGATTTTTTCTTTTAACTGTGCATGATTTAATTTTGTCTTATCTAGATGAAGAAAAAGCAAAATTAGATCCATCTTACTATTTGAAAAATACAAACACAGAGACCCGAGAGACTTTACTGGAGCTTTATAAGGAATTCAAAGGCGATGATATTCTAGCAGCTACTATGAAGGCTCCTGAAAAGAAGAAAGTGGATAAGCTGAATGCAGTATGTTGACTTAATTTGTAGTTTGGCACTGATTGACTTCTTCACGAATGGTAATAGATTTTTTTCAGCTTAGAGGCCATATTGCAGTATAAACAGACACTACTCCTGTTTTCTGTAACATGGAAATTTGTCATAGATGATAATGTGAGAATCATATTGGGATTCCTTAGAAATACATTGTATGTGTCAGTGAGTTTCTCTTTGTTAAATCATTGTAAATGATCCTAAACATTTTAGAAATGGAGCACAATAAGAAGGAAGAATCTTTGTGATGTGGTTGTGATGTATATGTTGGCAGAACCTTTTTCCCCAGGTTGTAATCTCTTGCTTTGAATTTGTTTATCATTGCTTCCTGCAGTTATTGGCAGAGAGAACACACCTTAAGGGCAATGCAGGTGAATCATTTCTGGTGTGGGCAAATATATAAATGATCCACATCTGCTTCTCCTTTTTTTTTTTTTTCCAGTGGAATTCAGGATTTTTAGTGGAATATTTTAAAGGATGTTCTTCCAGGTGCATGTTACTGTGTGTTCATGGTTGTCAAGAGAAACAATTCATCTGCATCTAGATTTCTGACATCAAAGGCTGTTTGAAATGGGCAAGACAGAGTATTCTTCTTTCCTTTAATAATTGTGGGATGTATATGTCTTCCTGCTTTGATTATACTCCCACGAAAACTAATAGCAATGCAGCATATGGCTTTTAACGAGGAGGCTTAGTGACAGATTAGGGAGTGTGTGTGCCCAAGGAGCAGGATCACATTTGCCCGTTTTTCAAGGCATCATAGTGTTATAAGAAAACAAAAGATGTAGGGAGGAAAAAAAAAAGGTGAGGTGCAATGATGAGCTCTACACGTGCTGGAGAGTCAGACTGTCAGCTAGTGATGTGGATGGGCATAACTATGAACTTGCTCAGGATACAGTGCATGTCACCTTACGGCGGAGCGTTGGCCTGACCTGTGTTCTTTACAGGCATTGCCCCAGAGCCGCTACACGTATCTCCGGGTTTATTAGATCTTTGTAATTGACTGCAAAATCCATGTGTGACGTTCCCAGTTCCTTTCTGCAGGAGAATTACAAAGCTCAAAATAGACATTGGGAACCATGGGACAGTGCTTCCGCGTGCAGAAGGGCTGCGTGTGGGAGGGGGGCGGTTAGCTTTCCTCCACAGTAGCTCCGTGGTTCACTGGATTTTCCTTCCACTTACTCAGCAACGTTGGAGAGTTTTACAGATGTCTTGCCAGCCGTACTCTTTTCATATCTCCACCTGTGGACATACAAATAAATTCTGATAATAGAATCTTTGCGTAATGATGTATTAAACTGTAGTGGAAGCAATAAGCCCCTTCAGCTTAGCGCATGGGCAGCCTTCACTAGAGGTTCATCAGAGCAAATGTTGTGGGTAACAGATGGAGAATTATTGCTGCATCGTGCATTTGTTTCTTTCTATAGGAGCTAGAGCAGAAAGTCTGCCTTCAGAACGAGGACATTTGTGCGTTTCTAGTGCTTATATAGTATCTTTAGTAGATAAATTCTAGGATCTAATGTCTTGTTCTCTTGCTTTTTCCTCTGCAAACAGGCTCACTATTCCACTGGAGCAGTAAGTGCTTCCTTCACCTCCACTGCAATGGTGCCTGAAACTACACACGAAGCAGGTACCAGAACTACCTAGCTACAAGCTGTTCATTTACTTTCCAGTTTTAAAGTGTGCTCCCTAGCACACATACATTTATGGGGACTGAAGGAATGCATTGATAATTGGTCAGTAATGATGCCATGGAAATGTATTCCCTGAGCAGATATATCCTTACTTTACAGCGAGCTCATTCTGAAAATAATGGAGCAATTATGAATTAGCTTCGGCTTTGAATGGCAGTTACTTATGTTGAACTGAAATTAATGAGGTATTTTCTATGCCCAGAGACCACAAAATGGGATATCCAGTTATGTAAGTTAGGAATGAAGTATAATCTCTCCTCAAATAGCAGACAAAACCTTTACCACCTTTTTGGCTTAATCCCATATTGGTTAGAATGACAGCAAATTTTGTGGTGGTAACTTCTGATTTACTGCTTTTCAAGGTTACACAAAAATGCATTTTAGTACAATAAAGTTTTGCTTTCATTTTCCAGCCTAAACACAAATGTGTAGAATTTATTTAATTTGAATATTGATTAAATAGCTGAGCAATTAGTATAGTTGAAGAGAAAGGTCTGGCTTTTGGCACTAAAATTTAGAATTATGTCACACACTTAGGCAAAGATTGAATACATTACTAAAACTACCTTTACCAAGTTCAGTTCCTTTACTTGGTGGATTACAGTGATTTCCAGGTGAATCTTTGAGTGTTGAAAATATCTGACTAACTGGACATTTTGACAAAATGGAAGTGGAAGCATCCTAGATTGATCCTTTGGTTTGACTTTCCAGTAATGTTTCCAGTAACTTAGCTTCATTTGTTTTCAGAAATGGGTAGGTTCTCATATGTCAGCAATTTGTGGCTGACTGATGACTACCTGCTTGGCTTCCAAGTTTGACAAGAAACGATTTGGTTTCAAAGTAACGCTTGTGATTGGTAGACACTACTTGAAAATTATAGTTTGTAATATTGAATGCTTCTGTGACTTAAAAATATAGATTATATTGTTGGCTCTCGAGGAGCTGGTGGTTTTCTGTAATGGAAAGTGTTTTGCACAGAGATTAATGTGAGGTTATCATAGTTGAATTGCAGAGTACAATCCCTGAAGACCCAGTACCCCAGGGGAAGAGGTCAGACAGTAGAATCTAGCAATCTGTTTTCTGATGATTTCTAGAGATCAATGAGTAAGCTTCCAGAGAGCTAATTATTGTCTTTTGCTTTGATAACAGCTGCTATTGAAGAAGATGTTGTGAGATACAAATACGTGAAGAAGAAGGGCTATGTGCGACTTCACACTAATAAAGGAGACCTAAACTTGGAGCTTCACTGTGATATGGTACTGTGTGCCCCATGAGATGAATCACTCTAGATAACAAACAGAATAGGAGCTGGCAATGGAAATGTCCAAAGAAAGGAATAGTGTGTAGTTGTAATAGATAACAGATAAATAATTAGCTTTTAGTTGTTTTGGTGTGTTTTCATACATACAGAAAACTCCATTGTAAAATGTATATATATTATTTTATATGATATACTACTATATGTATAAATGTTCTCTGAGTAGTCCCATACATTTTAGTGGACTACTTACAACATGTCAAGGTACATGTTTAGAGCTTCAAAGGGTCAGGATTATAGTGACCCAAACAATGACAAGGAAGGTAGAGAGAAAAAAGAAAGAAGAGCACAGAGAAGAGAGAATAACCCCAAGGTTACATAGTAGGTTACTGGCAAAACCAGGAGAAGAACCTCAGTGAAACCGAGAGCAGTTTGTCAGGCTGTGAGTATATGTAGTTATTCCCAGAAATGGTTAGATTTGCTTCTAAATCATGAGCTTTACAGAACAAACTTAAATGAAAACTTTTAGAATACATTTTTTACTTCCATCTCGGTTTTTAAGGTTCAAGTTTTCGAACATCTTCCCTTTGCCATTAAGACCTAGACATTCATTTTAAAAAAACAACGCACTAGAGTTTTTTATAGTCAATAGTTTGATTCTGGGGGAAATCTGTGGCTCTTAAAATAGTAAACATGGCAAGACTTGTGATAGATGGATGAGTTGTGGCGACACTGATGTCTTGGATGTCACTGCTTGCTCGTGTGTTGGCTTATTTATTTGTATAACCGTATCTATAGAAGGAAAAAAGTTTTCAATGTAAAAAGCCCAACCTTCCGTTGTTCAGTGAGATTTTTATGTCAGGAGATTATAGGCCTTAAGGTAGATGTTTTAGGAAGTTGATGGATGTGAATAGGGGTTTAAATGGTAAATTCTGCTTGTTGTGACCCTCACAGACTTTAAGGACAGTGGTGCTGGCTAGGAGCTGGGGTGCCTGGTGTGAAATCCAGAGGTGCACTGGGAGAATGCATCGGTTTTTGCCTGGGAAAAAAAAAAAGGAGGAAACAGCACAAGCCTGCTAGCTTTCCCTTCTCTTCCTTTCTCTCGCACGAGTAAGGAGCAAGATATGTGTAAACATCTCAAGCTGATCTGTGGAGACAGTATGAGAATCTCAACAGCAGCATATCATGCTAGTAATTCTGTAGGTCCCTGTCATCCCTACAGGTGTTTTCCATGCTCTTAAATAGTAACACTATGTAATAAGGCAAAAAGCAGAGGATGTTAGTACAGCAATATTTGGGGGAAGCAGCAGAATGAGCAGATTGCATTGAATCGTTTGTTTTGCTCTATGTTCTCAAACTGGCTCCTGGCTAATGCAGGCTGACTGCAGCTATTCTTGTCAGTGTGGGGTTTTTAGCCATATGTGTGACCAGTGTCACTCAGTCCTGAGGACCCAGTCTCAATTGCCCGTTATAAACTTCCTGTATGATATCCATTGTGTTTCCTTTTTTCCAGATGAATCCCTGTTCATCTCCCTTTCACACCCACTGCTTCCTCGTGCATACATTGGAAGTGTGCGCTGTTTAACACGAAACCTGCTTGAACACTGGCCTCTAGCCATCTGTTTCTTTCATTTCTTTGTGTCTATTAAATCTGTGTGAATTAAGCAGACCTTTGGCACTGCAGAGGGGAAAAAGATATATATTTAGAATAAGTTGGAAAAACTTACTGCTTTAAAGAGGTTTTCACAACATCCACTTTAGGTCATCATCCTAGGTCTATTAAATCAGTTCTTCCGGGAGGTGCTTGTTTTTCTCCCTTTACTATATAAGGAGTTTGTGCTTCTAACTTTGGTTTTCCTGAATCACACTGAGGTTAGGCACATAAGGTAGCTCAGTACAGACAGAGCAAACATCTTACTAACATATTACACATACCAGCTACAATGGATCTATTGAGATTGCAAAGACAGACAGAAAATGGGGAAATGCCAGAATCAAGCCTTTCTAAGCACATCCAGTTCACCCTGCTTGTGAATATGCATGGTAATAGTCTTACTTAATCATATGCTGAGTTTTTTGTCAGCTCTTCTGGCTTATTCACTGCACAAGCTGAACCAGTTCTGGGTGCTGTTTAGAACTGTGAAGTGGTTTATATGCAGGATCTGGTTTTCCTGCAAAAGTCTAGAATGTGGGTAAGGTCCTTGAATGCAGTCAGGGGGAGCTGGACTGTATCATAATGCTTGCCCAAATTAATGTTGCACAGGCTTTTTGGTGCCTGACTTTTCAGGCTTCATGACTTTCTAATGTAATTGGCATGGGTAGTACCCCAGCTTTTCAGAAAGAAATGGAGAAACAAATTTCAGCCCAAAGCGCTGTATTGGAAACACACTGATGTCCCCAGCAGATTTGAGACCCCTGGATTCAACACACAGATCTGCGCTACTTGAGTGAATGAGAGAGATGATAGCAGTATTAGGTTGTCATTGCTCTTTGAATTAATCCAAAATATGTGTGATTTGGGGAATTCATGCATCTACTCTCTCAAGCAGTGCAACTGCAGGAGCAAGTATATGATTTACAAGCCATATTACAGTGGTGCTTAGCTTCTCTTTTTAAAGACTGAACACTGCCTGACTGGTTGTTGTCTTGACCTCACCACAGGCTCCTGTTTTTTAAGTGCTAAGCGATATCCTGTGCCCTGGTTATTATGGAAGCCACCCTAGCAGTGGTTGTATTTGCACAGTACTGCAAATACATGATTGTGAAATGCTTTAGGAAGCTTGAGGATGAAGTTGCTATATAAATATGACAAATGAATACCTGTGTCCGGAGGTAGAACTTGCAACATTCAAATTACATTTTAAAATAGTCTTACAGGTTAGATTTCAATGTACACAATGACGTGAAGTCTTCTTGCTGAAACAGTGAACAGCAAGTGACATACTTGCTATCTTAGAGTGTATGTCTACTGAATCTTCAATTGTATTTTCATGTCTGTGGGCTATTTAAGTAAAACATTCTTGCAGTTGTGCTCTCAGCAGTCTGTACTGCTTCTGAAGTCTACCCAAAGTCCTCTTTGCCTTCAGTACCCCCCTTGGGTTCTTACTTCCTCTCCCTTCACAGCTCTTCTGTCTCCTGTTCTTTCTTTCCCCTGTTTTTTTTTGTGACCTATCCAGGAGTATGGATTGTTTGGAGTTCAGTCTATATGTACGCATGGAAACTTTTGTTTAAAAATAAATCTAGGGATCTTCATACACTAGTACTTTAAGGTGCCAATCAATAAGATTGATAGTGATGAGATTTTTCCTAGCACCAAAAACCTAATCAAGAAATGTTTTGTATTGATCCAGGGGAGGAAATCAGTGCTGCGGTGTGATTGAAGTCATCAGTTACTTTGTGACAGAATTCAGAAAGCGAGCATGAAATAAGGCTAGAATCCACGTATTTTCTGTGTTTGAAATCACTTGTTCAGAGCACCAGAAAACTTCACTTAGTTTCCAGAAAGATGATGTGTGGTGTAAGGCATTGACTGGAGAAAAGGCAGTAAAGAGTTTGGAAGATAAGCTGGATTTTTTTCCACCCTTTTGAATTTGTGCCTCAAATGAGCAAAGGTACAGTACTGTTCTCCCTTTGCAACATAGCGGTGTGCGTAGTGCTCTCTGTTGCCATTTGTTTTTCTCCCAGTCGTCTTATTCAGATACATTATGTTCCTCCTGATGGGGACTAATCAGATGGCCATTTGTTAGGAACATTTTCCAGGAAGCTGAGTTCAGCTGGGCGTAAGCAACATTTGTTGTATACGCTAACTGGAGACAAATTTACAAAAATTCTACTTGCCAGAAGTAATTTTGGCGAGTACAGATTTAACAGCATCCAACAAGTGTTATTCTTTCAGCTTTAGTCTTATGCATCGCCAAACAAATAAACTATGAAAAAATAACTGATGAAAGGCAATGAATGTCACTGGATTTCTTGTATTTTGTTTACTGTGATTTTTCTAATCTCCTCAAGTTCTTTTAGCTGCTGTAATCAGGAAGCTGCTGGGAACAGCTGTCTATCCATGTGTGTTCTGTTGTATTAGTGACTATAGTGATGCAGTGATACCTTGCAGGTGGTGGACCAGCCTCTTAAGGCAGGGTGGGGGCTTTAACCTGTGCAGAAAATCAAATTTACTTGGGTTTGTAAGTAGAAAAGCAGTGTGGTGTAATGGACAGAGTGGAGAACTAGGAGCTGGTAAACCCTGAATTCTGTGCTTTTGCCATGGACTTGCTGCATGATGTGGCTATGTCATTTGGTTACGGATTTTTTTAGATGAGTGGCATCACATTTTTTTTATTTCACAGTGAGCAATAAATATGGGCATAATTTTGAATTCCCAGGCGATAACATGTATCATATATGCCTGATTGCTGGACTTAGGCTACACAAATAACCTAGGCTGCCTGTTGGAATCAGCAGCCCTGCATAAGAATAGACAGAGTAGCAGACTCCTAGTCTCTGCACCTGTGAAAGGGAATAAAAATTCCTGCTTTTGCCTCGAGGTTGCTTTGAGGGCTTCTTGTTTAGTGCTTGTATTTTTTTATTTTCATTGTGCTATGGAAATATATATATCTCTAAAAAAAAAAAATTCTAACACTCCAGAAGACTTCCAAAATGATGAACAGGAGGTTTGGTGTACTGTCTCCCTTCTCTCCTTTGTGAGTTCTCCTCATACAAGTGGTCACTGTGGCGTAATGATCTGGTGGTTAAACACATGCCGGTAGTGGTAATTGAATACTAATCCGTAACTGCCGTGGCAGTTTTTGTAAATTCGCCTGTCTCTCTCAGGTTTAATACTTTAAGGTTTAAGGGCAAGTTGGCATAACAAAGAAGAATGCGAGATGGATTTCAAAGCTCCATCCAGCACTCCACAAATGCTTTTTGAGGTTTTAGGACCTGGCAAACTCTGCTTAACGATGATGTCTTGGCATAACTATCTGAAGAAGCCATTATTCTACA